CCTCATTTCCACTTTATTTTCATTTTCTGGGCCATGTGTGATAACGTCCTAAGTGTTACTTGCTTGCATGATAAACAACATATGCTGAAATTCTTACTTTTCCACAACTATTAAAGGTAAGGGGAGCCATCTACAGTTTTTACTCTGGAAACTCTAGCACTTCCCTGTGTACATTTTAATTGCATTGTCAGACTGGACAAAACATTTTTCACAAGCACACAGGAAACACAAACTAGAAAAGTTTTATCTCAAGGAGAATCAACAAACATTTTATTGGGAGCCTTCTTCCCTTGCTCAAGAGATGTCACTTGAAAACTGTTCATTGTTTCCATAAAGAAGCCTACATCAAGGGTGGGCGACCTCACCCAGGAGAGCATGCACAAAATGATTGATATGCTGTCCAGATGGAGAAATAAAACAAAGAGGCTGAAGCTTCTCCTGGTTGTTCAATATTCTTGAGTGTCCATTAAGATCATATACCCAACTGAGCTTCCAGTCACTTTCAGGAGTAACAATTCAGTTCTCTTCCTGGTGGGCTTATATCCCCACACTTTGGAGACACACAGCTGCCTGCTAGCAATTACCTTTGATACACTAGTAGGCATTTCCTGAGGGAAATGAGCAACCTGAGGGAAAAGCTGTTGGCTGGGGCCTCTAGATGTCTGAGCCTGGCTTTGTGAATACTGGGCCTTGCATGCCACTGATTAGCATTTTTTATAGGTGTCAACAATGAAGCAGAAGGGTCAATGCACTTGAAAGCTATACCATGTATCAGCAGATGATAAAAAGCTTTTTGTCCTTTTTATCAAAATGCCATCAAATTAGTCACTGCTCAGTAAAGGGCTTCCAACTTTCTTAACTCAAATCCCGAATGTCAGATCAAGAGGCATTTTGTTACAGTAGCTATCACATGTTAAGTTTATTTTACTAATGTCTAGATCACAAGACATGAGAAAGGATTCCCTTCCCCCATCCCTGAAGTAGTTGACTTGCTTACATTAATTTGATGGTTCATCACGAGAGCAGAGTGTTCTTCCTGATAAGGGGTTTAGCACAATAGGCTTCATGGTTCATACTGGCAGGTTAAAGATGTTTGAATCAGCAGCTGATTTTATTATTATTTGGTACATTTTCTATCTTTTCTCTTCATTTAACTAGGATTAGGTAATGTGTGGATATCCAGAGGTTTGTTGTTGTTGTTGTTGTGAACCTGAAAGTCATTGTTTATTTATGGAGGCCCTAAAGGGAGCCTGTTACAGTCAGGGGGTGGTGGCAAGTTTCTTCAGAAGGGGTTTGCTGTTTCCATCCTCTGAGGCTGGGAGAGTGTTACTTGCCCAAGATCACCTACTGTGTTTTTATGCTCGAGCAGGGATTTGACCCCTGTCCGCCAGAATTGTAGTCCAATGATCAAACCACTATACCATGCAGGCCCTATTGCAGCACTACAGTTCTAGAATTCCTCATCATTGGCTGTGCCAGCTAAGACTGATGCGAGCTGCATTCCAGCATCTTCAGGGCCCCAGTTCAGTCACTCTGGGGCCCTTTCACATTGCACAATTATAGCACTATGATTCTACTTTAACTGCCATGGCAACATCCTATGGAATCCTAGAGTTTGCAGGTTGTTTAGATCACTAGCTGAGAATTTTAAATACCCCTCCCTAAATTGCAAATTCCAAAATTTCATAGGAGGTTGTTATTGCAAACTAGAATCATAGCATTATAATTGTGTAATACAAAAAGCAACATGGTTTTCTCTGCTGTGGCAACCTGGAGATGGCTTTGGAGACTTGACTGATAATGGCATTGACCTAATGTGGCCTTTCACCAAAGCTTTTAAGACTTGGGGGGGGGGGTTGCAGACTGCCAGAAATAGTGCAAATTGAGTCCACTTTTAGGGTTAGGGTTAGTGCTAGGGAATCATGGGAACTGTTTTTTTTTCTGAGACATTGAGCCTTCTCTGTCAGAAAGCTCTGGTACCACAATAAGATACAGTGCCCATGATTCTCTAACCCTAACCCTAAAAGTGGACTCAATTTGCATTATTTATGGCAGTCTGCAACCCCCCTTAGTGATCATAGCTTCCCTGGGTTGTGGACCTCTGTATTAATATAGACTATGTACTCTTAGTTTACTTTGTTGAATATTTATTGTCTGCACTCCATTCAGAGAACTTGAGTGGAATATAAATACTGCAATAGACAAAGAAATAAACAATTTGTGGATATTAATTCTTTAGCTCATCTCCACTGTCTTGCTGCATGAAAAAAAAAAACAACTTAGAACAATGTTATTGGTGGGTTAAAAGGATTTATTGGGAAGTTCCAGTCTATCTCCAAAGTTTTGAATTAGGAAAGCCATTCCTTGCCATCCTGTAAGTGTTGATAGATTTATCTAGTGCCATAATGTTTGTGTTAACAGCAAGAGTTTGGCAAATGCCCTGTGTTGATAATAGAACTGTCATGATCAGTACCTTGTGCACTTATTTCTCTTTTGATCTCACATGTTCACATTATATATATAATTGAACTTCTGAATACCATTCATATATTCAGTTATATATTATTGCTTTTAATTGTGTAGGTTATGGGAAATCATGGTTTTCTCTAAAATAAATGGATATGCCACAATAAAATAATAATCAGGAAACAAGCACAGATTATTTATTTAACTTAAAAGTAGATGATGAAGATAGCAAGGTGTTCTATACCTTCTTGTTGTTCTGTGTGCTTTCAAATCATTTCCATCTTATAGTGACACTAAGGCAAAGCTATCACAAGATTTTCTTGCAAGAGTTGTTCAGAGGCATTTGCCTTGACCTTCCTCTGAGGCTGATAGAGGATGACTTGCCCAAGGTCATCCAATAGGTTTCCATGGCTGAGTGGGGATTTGAACCCTGATCTCCATAGTCATAGTCCAACATTCAAACCACTACACTATACTGGGTCTATACTTTGATTCATAAATCAAAATGGACACTGTTCTCAAGAAAACAGAAGAAGGCTAAAGCTGTATCCACACTGCAGAAATAATCCAGTTTGGCATCATTTAACTGTCATGGCTCAATGCTTTGGAATCCTGGGAACTATAGTTTATTGTGGAACTAGAGCAGAGCAAAATCATGATATTGAACATGATGGTGATGCAGAGGTAGACACCTGGTCTGGTTGTGTTGGTTACTCTTTATTAACTGCATAAAATATATCAGGTTACAACTAACTGCCTTTGGGAAAGTACAACTGAAAGTATTTGTGAAATTTGGGGATGTGGTGTGTTCAATTTATTCTACATCTTAGGAAGAGAACGTTAATTATTTCACAATAAGCATGGATGGTTTTTATTTTATTTTATTGGCTTTTGCCTTTTGCTGAAAAATTATGGAGCTTCTGGTTCTGTTTACTTCAAGTGTTCCTGAATGCTCCAGTGGAGACAAGAATTCTAGAAATCTTGCCAACTTTTTTCCTCCTTCACATTGCTATTTAAAAGGAAGAGGAAAAAACACTGATGACTCTAAAGAACAGCTGAATGCATCATTTGAACTGAAGTTTGTCTCTGCAAACTGTGGATGCGATGCCCAAAGTGTTTACAACTCACCCAGTCCCACTGATCTTGGGAGAATTATCCTTGAAAAATGTAAGCTATCAGACATGATGATTACCTTACACAATAGGGATTTAGACAAAAAAGCTTTCCTTTCCTTTTCTGACTCACTTTTCCAGTCACACTGAATCACTCCATTTCTATCAGCGCTTGGCATGATAGGTCTATAGGTTTGCCTAAACCACTGTGTAGCATTAGGATGCAGGGTTCTGGAGAACCTGCTGTAAAGAAGAGAAAGGGGAGACCACTTTGGTCAGCCCAGGTGCTTATGCCTTAAGGTAGAACTAACTTATTTTGTCTTTATAGTGTGGATCCAATTGCAAGATCCACCATATCTACAAAATGGATAGTAAATACTGTTATAGGAGCCTTTCTACTTTAAAAAAGAAAGAAAAAGAAAAGAAGATGTTTATGTGGTTTTCTTACTATTATAGGCATGCACAACCTTTACAGATTAGGAACATTACAGAATCTCAGGGCCTAAGCAGACGGGCGGCTGTGGGCTGCCCTGGGAAGGTGCGCTGTGGGACTGAGGCATCCCCATGCCTCGATCCAGCGGCACACCATCAGCACCCCTGGAAAGGAGCGCTAAAATAGCACTCCTTTCATATGTCGCCGAAAGTGTGCTGTAAAAAGTTGTGGCGCACTTTTGGTGACCCTTCTGCCGCAGTGTGTCCGGACGCTGCGGCGGGAGGTTGTCCTCGGAGCACTGGCCGTGCGGAGGGCTGGCAGCTCTGAGGACGACCTGGGGAGGGGGAGGGGGTGCCGAGCGTGCGGCTGCCCCTCCCCTTCCCTGCACCGAGGATGGCTTTTTAAGCCATCTGCCGAGGCCCTTAGTCATTGATTTGATGAAAGGTCACCTTTATATTCCAAAACCAATTCATCAGTTGCATTTCTTATCATTCAAGAGCAACACCTGGAAGCATGTATGTGAAAGAGATTAAATGCAGCTAGGGACAGCATTTCTCAATATTTTTATTTACTATTATAGGTCAAAATAAATGAGCTGTAATCTGGAACAAAAAATGGAACACATTTTTTCCTTGTCTAGAAATGTGAAGACCTGGGAGGGGGGGAATTATAGGTGAAAATATTTCCTGGGTTTTATTCCCCACACACACACACACACACACACACACAAAAAGCCTTATTTCTCTAAAAAGATTGGAAAATGGATTGTGGAATATTTTCTTTTAGAATGATGAATAATATGTTTAATACAAAGTCTTCATATATTTATTCCCCCTGAATTATTTCTACAATCTTTGTAGAAGATAGGATGCTAATATAAGATGAAATATAGCAGTGTTAATCAAATTGGTGGGTTATACACTGGTACCACAAGTTTCCAAAAAACCCCAAAAAGTTGTAAGCAATTGTAGCCAGTGGCCCTAAATATGGTACTGGTACTTGGCTCATTAGAAGAATAAAATGCCAGTTGCCCCACTAATGTACAGGCTCGTTCTTGTTGTTGTGTGCTTTCAAGTGATTTTTAAGTTATGGCAACCATAAGGCAAACCTATCATGGGGTTTCCTTGGCAAGATTTGTTCAGATGAGGCTTGCCCTTGCCTCTCCCTGAGGCTGAGAGAATGTGATTTGCCCAAGGTCACCCAGTGGGTTTCATGGCTGAACTGGGCAATCAAAATAGCAATATTTATAAGAAAAAGTCAAATTTTTAAAAATACATTCAATTTGTTATACATAATGCATTTTGTTTTTCTTAAAGTAACAAAGTGACTTTCAGACAATAAAGGGTTCTAATATCACCTTTTCCCCAATTTTATTGAAAGTTTCCATTCTTTCTCCCAAGAGAGAGAGAGAGAGAAAGAAGAAGAAGAAGAATTTCCTCCTTTCACAACACAGTTTCAAGCTTTCCAGAAATTTTATATCTCCACTCCCCCCCCCCCCCCATCTGCATCCTTTTTACTTTCTCTGTGTAAGTCAGATGTCCTCATGGTCTTACAAGTGACAAAGTCATTTTATGACACTTCTGTTATGAGGAGGAGCACAAAACTAGGGGAAATGTTTTAACTAGACATTCAATGTGTATTTGAAAAGCCAAAATCAACACATGGGACTGACCTACCATTAGGAAGGGCAAGGCAAGAAAGTTCTTCTAATGGCTGACTATGATGATTAGCTATATTAAAGGAGAGCAAATTGTCAAATAATTCATCTGTAATATTGAACCATGCCAGAAGGGTAGCATTTGGTTTTTGCATGTGTTGAGAATGTTACTTTTTGTATGACTCCCTACCAGCAAGGCCATGGGAGATTAAGGGAGATGTCATTCAAAAAGTGTCTTTCACATTTTTCTTTTTTTCTTGGGCCATATTCTAAATTCCAAAAGAATCAGAGTTAACTGTTTCTGTGTAAGATTTTTCAGCCTTAAATGATTCATTTTATACATAACATTATGGGATATTTAGCTCACTCCAAGCCTTTGTTACAAAATTGGAGCCTATCTACTTGTTCCAAGCAAACCTAGCAATTAGATGGAATTAGAGTTGAAAGCTGTCTTTGCATGGGAAGGGTACAGACATTTCTTCAAACAGAAAAAGCTGGGATTTATTTTATTTTATTTGTTCCTGAGGAAATAACCATATGAAGCAGGATTGTTCACTCATGAGGATTTTTACATCGGTAACTGTGGGAGAGGAGAACACAGGAACCACACCAACCATATTCCCCTGTCTCACATCAAAAATTCAAAATTATGGAAAATAATAAAAAAATATGATTATATGACATGTGGAATAGGAATGAAGAAAACATTTTTCCATGTCTGTTGGTATGAGCATAGCATTTTGGAGTCAAAGCTAGGAGGGG